GGGCGGGGCGTGCGTATATGGTCGCATCATATACTAAACTACACGAGCTCTCTCGCGGTTCTCTTTCCGCCTATTCGAGCTACTTGTTCGTACGGGGTTGATGTCGAAGTGATTTCTTATACAGCGACGTGTCGCGAATGTCCCCCCGTCAACGACACGTCACGAAAAGCAGTCGAGGGCTTGTTGACGTTGTTGTTGCTACTGCTGCCCATGTGGCCTCATGCACCACTATTGTTCCTCGTGTTTGGCGAGGTGTCTGATGCCGCGGAGGAAACTCCCGTTTATTCACTCTCGTCCTTCCCACTCGCGTCTCATTCACACCGTGAAAAGAAATTTGCGGATTACATTAATGCTTTAAATTAATAATTGTTTTTAAGATTAATTAAGCATTAAATTTTAGTCCGACTGCCTGCCTCTCTCTTGAGGTTATATCTTGTTTCTTTCCGCAACCGGAGACGTGATCTATATATATCATATATAATATATATATATATATATATATATTAATATATATTATATACCCTAGCCATATTCTTCACGCGAGCTCCATGACTTAGGGACGGCTTCATTATTTTGCAGCACGGAGATAGTGGGAGACGGTATATCGCAAGAAAACAAGCTCAACCAATCAGGCGTCAGTACCGTCAGTACCGTGACTTTAAGAGAAAAAAAATCGGCGACGGTACCGTTGCAGGAGCAACAGCCATTATAAATACTACTATTACTAAAGTAAAACGCAGTGGCTGGAGGTACGGTAGCCGTCGTTCGTTGAAGCCCCTTTTTGGCGTTAGGGTTAGGGTTAGGGTTAGGGTTAGGGTTAGGGTTCTAGCTCATCTAAACTCTCAAATCGTGAATTTATTTCCCAAGGCGTTATTTCGAAATCTGGCGCCACCGCCGCCATCTTTGTCTCGTTAAGTATGAAAGCGAATGGACTCCCGTACCCGTAGTCTCGAAACATTAAGATACTGCTACCGTACCCGTAGCCACTGCCAAAGTAAAAGTAAAACTAAAAGTAAAAATAGGTAGGCCTAGTGCAGTAGTGGCTATTCTTACGACCAGTCGTAAGAATTATTTATGGACTATTCTTACGACGTCACATGTAACATACACCATAGATAGTGTTTGGGATACCATACCCCGTATATATATTGATTTAGTCGGTTTATAGTTATTGTTAGGGTTAGGCCATGAGAATTGAGGTTACCGTTTAGGAAGTGTCTAGATACAATAATGTAACCCAAACCCAGGAGGATAGGGTTACAAAGCGTCCGTATGGTTTTGTGCGGAGGAACGTCTGAGTGAATCACTCGGGGCGGTTTGCTGGTGCGTTTTCAGAGACTAGAACTTCTAAACTGGGTTTATTCTAAACACGAACCTTTCTCCGCTATCTTGAAACTTACTATGTATCATAATACTCTGTATTAAACTAATATAACCTGTTACAAAAATTCGAAGTGACGAGCGGCGAATATACTGAGCTCCATTTCTGTTGACCTGTGACGTACTTCGGGTTGAAGAGCGGATTCACCGACCAATTGGAGGGCGCTGCGTTTGCCAATCGCCATGCGCATTGGGAATGCGTACGTCACAGGTCAACAGAAATGGCGCTCGAAACATCCGCCGCTCGTCACTTCGAATTTTTGTAACAGGTTACAGCGTGAGAAACTAGCGGTCGCCCAGTCGCCAGTGGCGATTAGAAAATCGACCGGGCGACTGCTTGCTCGTGTCAGCTGGTCCGGCGGGGCGACTAGATAATCGCCGCACAGGAAATAAAGAATTTACCAAACTGAGGCCATAATAAAAATGTTGTTGTTTGCCCTCACCCGACCGACCCGCCAAAAAGGGGCCGACACAAACATTTTTATTGACCTTCCCGATTTAAAAAAAAAGTTTTTGTATGTGGCAGGTCTGCGGCAATTGTACGCGGGCTATAGTACTAGAGCTATGCACAACCTGGCTGCGTAGGTGCCCGCTGGCTGGGCGGCACTGATTGAAGTAGGGGGGAGGAGCGAGTGCATTATTGATTGTTTCACTTTCAGCTGCGTGCCAGGGTGCATACATGTTCATTATTACATATGTAGGGGGTGGGGTGGCCGGGCACCGCTGGTATGAGAGCGCGACAGCAAAACTTTCCTGGAATTGGAAATCGCTATATTATAATTTAGATATTAAATAACTTAATTATGGATCTAACTGTGACAGATTAACTTTATTTTCCTTTCCAAAGACTAATATGTGCTAAGAAGATATTTATTATTTCTTAATTCAAGTTCCTTTTATTTTTAATGCTTTTATTTCCAGATTACGGGTATGTGTGCGTGCGTGCGTGCGTGCGTGCGTGCGTGTGTGATCTGGAAATAAAATCATGCACAATTTAGCTCTGATGAACACAAGTTGTTAAAAGTATTTTATATGTATATTGTATCACTGTACAATGTACATTATATAAATCTGTAGGCAAACATAAAAGGTATCTCCACACAATCCACGTTATCACCGTCTCCCCCACCCCGAGTCTCAGTTCACACCGTGAAAAGAAATTGCGGTTAATTAATGCTTTAATTAATAATTTTTTAAGATTAAACTAGCATTAAATTACGTCCCGACTGCCTGCCTCTCTCTTGGGTTATTCTAGTGATCTTCCGCCAACAGTACGGATTATATATATATATATATATATACCCCATAGCCATATTCTCGCGGGACGTCTATGACTTTAGGGACGGCTCATTATTTTTAGCAGCACGGGAAGTGGGAGAGGGAACACGAACTCGTTAACAATGGGACCTGCACGTAGTTAACCTATGTTGTTGAGGTTGTAACATTTAATTGCATTACAGTCAGTATAGCTTTAGTGGCACTACAGCGGTAATGGGAGGGTTGTGGGGGCAACGTGAAAGCTGTTTGCTGCCGTAGGCGCTAAGGGAAGAAGAGTTGGAAACGTAAACGATGTGAGGTAGAGTGAAATTAACATAGTTGTTATATTTAAGTGTGATTGCCTATAGCCGTGGCTTTCACCTACTGACTGTCACCTCTAAACCCAAAGCTAGAAACTATATATTTTCTGACGAAATTTGCGAGCGAATTCTCCGCTTTAGACACGCCTGCATGTTGGAGTTAGCAGGATTTTATTGGATTCTCTACCAACTCAGCCATTTCCAAGGGTCCGGGTAATATTTAAGCTACAATTTTTTTTAAAGCTACAAAGGGATAGGATATGGTTGTAGCCAATTAGGTCACTTCATAACTTAAAACAATTTAATGTTAAATAAACAGTATGAGTTTAAGATAATGCATTTACATTTAATAAGTTAATTTAGTAGCCATGCTCACATGGCAGTACTCAAATCCGATTATTAGGATAAGATGGGAGATGCGTACGTGAGAGTGAGAAATAAGAACTCAAACTTCACGAAAGCATAAAGTAACGATTTTTATCCAGTCATCTAGAAAATATCATTACAGGTGTTGGAATGATAAATATTCTTCGGTTTTGTACTGACCCCGCCCCTATAGTGACCACCCTATCACAATACGCCACATTGCTACCAGACTAACTTGTCATCTATGCAGTGGCGTAGCTAGGATTTTTTCAGCGGGGGGGCACTGGTGTGCCTTACATTTTCGTGGTGGGGGGGTGGACAATATATAATTTTACTCGAGATGTGGTTTGAACCCCTCTTCTTTGGTATGTATCCTACTGTTCTAACGCGTACCTGTTTTATCATTTCAAATTTCTTTTTTACTCAAGCTCATGAATTTTCAGTGGGGTGGCTGGGGACCTGGGGCCGTCACAGAAATTTGTGGCGGGCGCCCCACGTTGTCCCCCCCCCCCAGGGCCACCCGCTCATCTACGCCACCGCATCTATGCAACAGGATTATGTAATTCGTTGCACTTAACACTTATCCGGGCAAACACCCACCAACTAACGCGCTAGTTAGTCACTGACCGCCAATTTCGATTAACGAAACTCTCCTGTGTATTAGGTTACTGGTATAGATTTTATCAATTGACCCCCTCATTGGCACCGTTTTACATATACGCTTGCTCTTGAATCCGTTTTATCATGATCTGTTTCAGGTTGACGATTCTTCAAAAGAGTCTCTCTCAAGACAAATTAGCGTTACAGTAAGTTTATTCTCTAACATGTAACGTTGAATCTCCGAAAATTACAGCCATCACTGATTAGGTAAGATCTATCCTCAAGCTGCGTACACAGACAGCCTATCTGACCAGTACCATAACATTCACAACATAACCATTCCACTGCATCTCTATAATTAATATTAATAGAGTATTAGATTATACCTCATATATATACTATAGAGATGAGGACTATATATATATTATGATATATCTCTATCTCTATATTAGAGATAGGATATTATATTATCCAGGGAGGGTATAATGACAAATATGTTCATCCTATTGTACGCTCCTGATATTATCAAGAGTAATAATTACCTGTAGGTATTTATTAGCTCTTGATATTATAGAGATCAGGTGGAACATCACATTAACCATCACATCTGAGGCGATGAAATGTAAATAATTAAAAAAAAACGTGGGACAGAAATATGGAAATAGAGTAAGGTAAATGTTTAAGTAAGCTTAATGAGATGTATTGTTTTTAGGAATGAAAATAAGTATATTTATTAGTTAATTAGAAGTTTCATATTAAGAAATTATTCATGGATGATGGTAATGGGAGACGATAAATGCGCAGAAAGCGAACCCAGACTGGCCGAATCCCGCACACCCCCCCCCCCCTTCCCCGCCCCCCCCCTCCGGTCTCCGCGGCCGGTGTATGGGAATAGATATCAATAGCCTTTAGTTAGCGAGCAGTGTCCTGTGAATACCGATAGGTCCAGTAAGTTACATATCACGCCCGACGTTGATTTTACAAAGTGCGATTATGCAAAAATACTTATAAATGGCTGTTGCTCCTGCAACGGTACCGTCGCGATTTTTTTTCTCCTTAAATTCACCGTAGTCGATGCAGCGCCATCTATCGGCCGATATATAGTAACTACCGTCTTGCTTTGGTACTGATAGGATAGAGACGAGTGGGATACGAGAGAGACTGAGAACCCTAATCCCGAACCCGAACCTCGAACCCGAACCCTCAACCCTAACCCAGAACCGACCCGAACCGAGGAAAGCGAGAAAATGGAAGGGGGAAGGGGCGAAAAAGGAGGGTGGGGATTAAACTATGGGGGAAAGAGAAAGCAGCTAAATAGGGGTCGGAAGGAAAAAAAAAGGGGAAACAGAGAAAGACGATGAAAAGACACGAAAACATGAAAAGAAGAAAAACGGAGGGATGCGAGCCGGCGACCAGGTGCAGACGGGCGCCAGCGGGCGAACCAGGAGACGGCCGGGCGACAGAGGGAAAGGAAAAGGGGCGGAAGGGGGCGAGGGAGAGCGCAAGAACACATGTCAATCCAAGCTAGGCGGCGGACCGGCAGGGGACCGGGACGGGAAGATGAAAAAAAAGCGGCGACCCTGGCTTACCGCTGGCAGGCAGCCCAACATCCAGGAGAAATGACGACGAGGACGAAGGAAACGCAGGGGCGGGATGGGACGGGAGCCGGCGGGCGCGGGAAGCCCCGGGGTGGCGCTGGGAGGGGGAGGGGGAGGGGGAGGCGGGAGGGGGAGGGGGCTGAGCGCAGCGAAACGCGCAAAGCGGGAAGGGAGGGCCCAAGGCGGGAGGCGAAAAGCGTGCGCCACCGCCTCCAGCGGGGGCGCGTGGAAGGATTGGAAAGCGAAAGGGACGCCCGGACCGGAAGCCCGGCGAAACGGCCGTATGGGCGTTCCACAAAAAGGCCGAGGCGGGGTGCTGCGCCTATCGAACAGGAAGGAGACGGCGGACCGGACCCGGAGCCAAATCGGCAAGGGAAAAACCGACAATAGGATAATTAGGAAAAAGAGCCGGAGGTCCGAGTGCTAGGTAGGGGGGCCGTGAGGCGGGACGAGCCAGGCGTAAGACAGGAGGGATTAGGACGATGCGGGACGACGGCACAGGCGAACAGACACCATGAGAGAGCTTGGGGGGAGACCAGGACCCCGCGAGCAGATGGAGGGTAGGGAGGCGCGGGGAGAGGTAGGGGGAGGGGGATGGCCAGTGAGTCAACGGCGAGGCGGACACGGACCGGTAGGAAGGGGCGAGGGACAGAAGGTAACCCAAACCAGCGAGGAGAGCACGCGGGGACAAAGCGGCCGCGATGGGGGGGTGCGTGAGGAACTGGCGGCAGAAGCATCGCGCGCGGCGGGGGCGGCGGGCGGTGGGCAGAGATCGAGAACGCGAAAGCAGGGCGGGAGGCGAAACACGAAACGGCGCGCCGCACGAGCGGGAAACGGAACACAAGCACACCCAGCCACCCCTTCCAATAGGACGAGGGAGGCACGAAGGAGCTCGGGAGGAAACGAAGATAACCGGGGATCATAAAAGGCGAAGGACGTAGCGTGCGAAGGGGCGAGCCGCCAGGGCGGGGGACCGGGGGACTGGGACGCAGTCCGCAACGGCGCAGAGGGGCCGAGCGGCAAACGGCGCAGCTGCCCGCACAAGGGGGCGGTGAAGTTCTCGCGCTGGCTAAACCGAAGTATGTTCACAAGCGGCACAGAAAGATGCGCCGCCAGGAGAGGCGCCGCGCGGCGACGTGCGCAAGTGGCCTCGGGGAACAACCGCCGCGCGGAGGGAGGGGAAACAGTCTAGGGGAGGAGACAGTAGTGAAGCCGGGCAAGCAGAGCCCGGCAAGTAAGGGGCGGGGCAGAAAGAATACCCAGGTGTAGAAGGGGCGAGGCTCGGAAAACGGCACCACGCAAACCGCGCCGAGGGCAGGCACGCAGACGGGCGCGCCGCACAAAATCCAGACGGGCCCACGCGGGGGAACCAGGCGATGCGAGGCCGGCCGGGGGGGCGGGCGGACAGGAGGGGACGCGAGATCACGGCCGATAAACCGGAAGGGGAAACCCGTCATGGTGTGTCGCGAGGCCCCGAACGCGAACAAGAACGAGAACCGACGATAAGCAATGAGGAGACGGTGGCGGGAGGGGAGCCAAACACGAGCGAGGCGGGGGAGACAGGGCTGACGGCGGAAGAAGAGGCCAGAAAGAAGGCGGACGACGGGGCGGAAGAAGTCAGCACGACGCACGAGGTCCCGAGCCGACGTGTGGGACGGGGACGGGGAGGGACGGGGGCGAGGGGCGACGGGACCGGGGAGCAGGATGCGGAAGGAGGGCGAGACGACGCGGGACTGGGAGGCCTAGGCGCCGGCAGACGAACGAACCAAGAGGGCGGGCGGGGGCGCCCAGAGGGCGAGACAAGAACGCGGGTTGGAAAGAAAGTGCACGAGGGAGAGCGGGAGAGGAGCGAGGGAACCCGAACCCGAACCCGAACCCGAAACCCGACGCCGAACCGCAAAAAGGGGCGGCTAACGAACGACGCAGCGTGACCGGACCTCAGCCCACGGCGGGGGACGGGATGGAAGTCAGGAGTAGGGAGAAGGGCTGTGTGGGCGCGGTCAACCTCTATCTGGGAGCCGCGCCGATGTGGGGGCGCGTAAAGGCACTTTGCCGGGACGGACGGGAACGGACGCTTTTTCCACGAGGGCGGGGAGCGGGGGCGGGGCCGACGGACGATCAGAGCACAGGCCAAAAGGGGAAGGGGCAAGCAGGGCGCAGCCTAGGAGAAGGGGGGAGCACGCGGGCTGCAAGGAGGACAGTCGGGCGCAGAGGCGGAAGCCCAGCGGGGGGGAAGGAGGGGCCGGCGGGGCTGGGACGGGGCGAGCGGGAGCGGCGGGAACAGGGGGGGGCAAGGAACGCAAAGAGGGGACAGCGGAGGCGAGGGACACCAGGGAAGAACAACAATGGAAGGGGGACACATGGAAAAAGGAACAAGGGGAGGAAGGGGAAGAGCGCGGGAGGGGGAGGGATGGGCGGAGGGGGAAGGGAGGGGAGGGGGAGGCGGGAGGGGAGCGGACGAGAGGCGAGAAAAGCGGAGAGAGAGAGCGGGACATAACACGCAACATGCGAGGGAGGAGGCGCGCAGCAGAGGGCGCGGGGCAGCACGACGGGGAGAGGTAGCGGAAGGAGAAAAAAACAAGCTGGCGACGGTGACCGGGGCAGGGAGCACACAGCCAGGGAGAAGAGGGGGCGCAAACGCCACGGGGGAAAATGCCCGGGGGCGGAGGCCGACGGAACGGGACGGCTGGAGAGGCCAGGATACGGCGCGCGAACGCCATAGCGGCGCCCCAGGGAGAGCGAAGGAGCCCTGGACCACAGCGAGAATGGGGAACGATGAAACGGCGAGGACGGTGTAAAGGACGTGAGGGTCACTGGCCAGGAAAACAAGACAGGCACAGGACGACGGAAACAGGGACCGCGACGCGGGAGGGCCTATGCGGCGCGCCACCGGGGAGGGAATGAGGACCAGGGCGGCGCGAGGTCTGAGGGGGAGGGGAGGGGGCACGCGGCAGCGCGTAGAAGAGCAGAAGAGCGAAGAAGACCGAGGGGGAGGACGGAGCGGCGGGAGAAGGCAGGAGCGGGGAGAAGGACAGAGGGGGCAGGAGACCGCGCCGGAGTAATGACGAGAGTGAGCGCGAGAGGAAGAAGAGCTCAGAGATGAGCGATTAGAGAGAGAGCGCGAGCGCGAGGACGAGAGAGAGAAGAGAGCGAGCGCGAGAAGAGGAGGAGAGAGAGCAGGGGGCAGGGGACGGGGGGGGAGGGCAGGGGAGGGGGCAAGACGGGGCGGGCGGGGACGCACGGGAGAGAGGAGCGGACCGAAGCGGGGGGCCTCGGGAACGGGGGTTCGCGAGAGGACTGACAGGGAGAGACATGCAAACGACGGACCCGGAAGGGGGGGAAACGCGGCGGGAAAAGGCAGGCACCCGGATAACAATCAAAGGAGAAACGGAGGCAAAGAGCGCGGAGAGGGAACCGGTGTATGCCGGGCAGGAGGGCGGCAGTAGAAAAGGAGACCAGTGAACGACGGACACAGGGGAGGGGCGGGGAGCGGAAAGGGCGGGGCAGGACCGAACGAGGCCCGCGGGAGGGGGGGGGGGGCGGGCAGAAGGGGGAGGGCAACGAGGACAAGGCCGGCGGGCATGGAGAGCACGCGGCGCGGAGCGATCGCGGGGTGGCCGGGGGGCGGTGGGGGAGCACGGGCGCCCACGAAAGGGGCGGGGCCGCCCGAGGGGCCCCCCCCCATCGGAAAAGGCAAGGGCGGGAGAAAAAAAAAGAAGGGGGAGAGGAGAAACTAGGAGCCGGGAGAACAGGAGATGAAGACAAAGAAAGAGCGCGGCAAACCACAGCGTCAGGAAAGACGAGAGGGGCCGCCCCCGCCACCACGGAAACGGGAAGGCCATCCAGGGCCCCCCCGCGGAAATAAAGCCGAGCGACGCCCACGGCCAGGAGAGGCAGCAAGGGAGGCGGGGAGCAAGGGGGTGCGCCGGAGGGGGAGCCGAATGCCGCCGGCGGGCAGCGCACGAGAGGGGTCGCGTGCGGGAGGCAGGACAGAAACCGGAAGAAGACGGGAGCAGGGCCAACCACCGGAAGAACGGAAAAATAGGGAGAGGGGCGGAGAGGCACGGGAGAAAGCGGGACCGGAGGGCGGGCGGGCAAGGGGGCAGGCGGAGGGGCTCACGCTGCACCGGACGACCAGCGCCGACGCTGAGCGACGCAAAGCGGAGGGAGAAGACGGCCGGGGAGCAGGCGACGAAAGGAACGCGGAGGAAGGGAAAGGCGAGGAGCGGAAACGCAGTACGGGGGGTGAACAGGAAAGGGCGGAAGGGAGGACAGGGAACGAAGGGGCCGACAACCAGAGCCGGGCCCGGGGGAGCGGGAGGGGAAAAAAACAGTGGCGAGGCGGAAAGAGGGACCCGGACCGGGGAAAGGGCGGCAGGGAGGAAGAGTATTAGCAAGAAAAGCCGGCTGAACGCCAACTAGGCTAGGCGGGGGCGAAAGCGGAGAGGCGCGCGCAAAGCGGCGGCAGAAAAGAGATGAGGGGCGAGCGGGGGGGGAGGCGGGGACAGGCATGGGGGGAGAAGCCACGGCGAGAGGCAAGCACACGGAAACTGAGAAACAAGCGAGGGGAAGGGCACGCGACCGCACAGCGGCGGACCGGCCAACGCGGGCCGGCCCGGAGCGCCGACGGCCCAGCAACACAGCGGCACCGGAGGCCCAACAACCGGCCGCAGGGCACGAGCGGGAGGGCCACGAGAAGCCCAGAGACGCGACCCGGGAACGGCCACTAGGAAAGGGGACAACCGCAACCAACTAGCAGCGCGGGGAACGACGCGGCAGGCCAGGGGAACGACCGCGGCGCGGCCCGGCGCGCTGTAGTGGCGCAGAGCCACGCACAAGGAACGCCGCGCTCGCCGGGAAGGCAAGGGCACCGGTCGCCCGCTGAGGCAAGACGGGCCGCAAAAGCGGGGCGAGCCGAGGACGAGGTGAGAGGAGAGAGAGATGACGCCGGCCCCGAGGACGGGGGTGCCAGGACGACCAGAGCCCACGGAGAAGCACCACCCACCCAAGCAGCAGAAGAGGCAGGCCCGGACACCAGGGCAGACCGAGGGACAGCAGGAAAGGAGGGAGCAAGCGAAGAGAAGCAGGAGATGACGGAGACCAAGGGCGCGCGCAGCGGGCGAGGGGAGGAGCGGCGAGAGCGGGGGGAGGGTAGACGGGGAGAACGGGGGGGGGCCGCGCGGGCACCAGACACCGGCCAAGACGACGGCAGAGGGGCGGCAGGGAGGCCACTAACGCACGGGGGGGGGGCGCGGGACGAGGCGCGTGGGACGGGTGGTCGCCCGACAGGTCGGCGTGGGACAGTGGCGCGAGCACGGCGGGGGAAGAAGGGACAGCGCGGGCGAAGCCGAGGCAACCCCGGACGAACAGGAGCGCGAAGAGGCGGCAAGGAGAAACCGCGCGAGACCGAGCCGGGGAGGAGGGGAGGAGGAGGAGCGCAGGCGACCAGGTGGCACGCACGCCCCGCCCGCCGAGCCCGGCCGGCCGGCCCCCAGCGCCGGCAGGCGCGGCCTGCGGGCGGGCGCCGGCAGAGGAGCGCCGGGCCCCGCCAGAGCAAAAACCACAGCGAGCACCGCGCCCGCCCGGCGCGAGGCGCGAAACACATAGACACAGAGCGGCGCGACGCAGCGCGGGGGGGCACAGAGGAGGGCTCGCGCACGCGCGCCAACACACATCTTGCCGCAAAGGCCGCGACGGGAGCCGACGGCGACACAGCGAGGGACACCGGGGGGACCAAAAGGACCAGCGCCGTCCGCCGGCGCTCGGGGCGGGGCGCGACACGGGGACTCTTAGGAAGGAGGGCAGCGCGGACAGTCGGCGGGCCGAACCGGCGTCGCGGCGTTCCTCCCGTCACCTTTGAGGGGGACCGGCCAAGCGAACGGGCCAGCGGGGACGCGACGCGCCGGGCGTTCGATAGGGGGCTGCTGTTTTCTGCGGTATGAGACGAATTTGTCTAGGAGGGTGGGGGGCGTCTTACGCGGGAGCATCACGTGAGCTAGCTGCGCGGGCGGTGGTGGGTGTCGGCGTGACGTGTATGCAGCCGGGGTTTTTGCGGCCGCGGCCGCCGTGAGCCACCCGTCCGGGCAGGTTTTCCCTCTATGGGTATCGGCCGCCCGCTGTCCGTGCAGTTATACTCTGGGCGGATCCGATCCGGAGAGACGTTAGCAACGGCGGGGCGATTGCAGCCGGAATCGCTGAGATAGCGACGGACGATCGCAGTCCGCCGATCAATTTAAGCGTGAGCACGGCTGTTTAGCGGAGAAGTGGTTCGTCGCGTGGGGGGGCGGGCGAGGAGCGCAGAGCGGGGCGGTCTGTTTTTTTTTAGGCTGCGCCGTGCTACAGGCGGGCTGTCGAGCAAGGGCCGCAGCCGCCTACGACACGCAGGGCGGGGCGCGCCGACGCGCTACCGCCGGGCGGTCCGAGGGACGACAGCGGTGGCCGGACGGGGCCGACGACGGGGCGAGTACGCCGAGCCCGCTGCTTCGGAGCGGGGGCCGGGGACACACCAGCCCGCCGACCGGCAGACGCGACCTCACGGGCGACAGCCGACGACCGGACAACGAACGACCGGACACGAACCGCGACGCGGAGCGTGTGTGCAACCGCGCCCGCCAGCGCGACCCGAGCCACGGAGCACACAGCCAGCGCGCGGGAGCAGGACGCGCGAACCGGCGGGGCCGCGCCGAGCGGGCGACGCGCGCCGCCGGCGCCCGGCGCCCGCAGGCCGGCGCTGGCTCGCGCCCGTCGGGACGGCCGCGCGCCCGTAGGACCGTGCGCGGAAGCCCGGCGGCGCCGACCGAGAGCGGCGGCCGCGCGCTGCAGCGCCGCCCGCCGCGCGCGAGGGAAGGCACGAGCGGAGAGCGGCACGGCCTGCAGGCAGGAGGACCCCAGGCACGCGCCAACTGCGAGGGAGCAACAGCAGTTCAGCTTAAGCAGCAGGCAGCCGCAGCAGCAGCAGGCAGCCAGCCAGCATGGGAACGTGAATGAGGCCGGCGGAGGGGCAGCGAGCGGGCGCGACGCGGGGCGGCAAGGAGCGAAGCGGCACACGGCACCCGGGAAAACAAGGGGAGCCGCGGGCCGGCTCGGGCAAACAGCACCGCTCGCCGCACGGGGGGAAAGGCGG